AAATTACGATCTGCTTCCCGTAGGGCTATATCTTTTTTTTTAAACTTCGCCCTGCGCCTCCGCTAATTAGTGTGATTTTAGCCTGCGCGTAAAACAGAGTATTTATAGTGAAATAAAAGTGATGTTACACTGTTTTGCGACATTGAGACTGTGTTCATGTTTTGCACGACCTTTTGGTACTACAACACCACGTGACATCACGTAAACAGCACTTTAATCGTCTTTGCAGCGTTAATGACTGATCATGACTTTAAGATATTTGTGTTCGGATTTATTTTCTTAGTTAGTCATTTTTCTATCATTCTCGGTAGTTTTTACAGCAAATTTCAACATAAGTTGTTCTTCATTTTACCAGGTTGTCAATGTGTTGGGGAAATAAGAACGGCGAATGTATCTGTTGATAAATAGATCACGCTTCCAGCCTTCTGAAAATCTCCAATATAGTAAGAATATCATTTTCATTATCAATATCAGTCACTTTCCTTTAACCCGAACAAGTTAGGATGTTCTTAATAATTAGGCGAAATATCTATCACATTTGGACAATTTGCCTTATAATTTTTAAAAGATTGCCATAACGCAGATATAGCATGTATTTTATACTCAGTTAAAGAATGTAAACATTTGATTTAATAATATTATTAAAACCCCAAAACTGACACGAACTTATTCAGTTCTAATACCCGGTATATTATGTTCAATCCATGTTTAGATTTGTAATATTTTACAGACATTTGGTACAAAAGTGAAACAGAAAGTTATAGTAAACATTATCTAGTGTAATTTACCAAGAAAGCTAAATGATTTTGATTTTTTTTGTATAATAATAATGTTCAGTTTTTGTAATTAGGAGATACATTGTAAAGCATAAAAGAATACATACTGCTTACTCCAAATTTATTTACTTGAATAATTCAATTTAAAGCCGGGTTGATGGATACCATTAACAGCAAACGGTGGTTTAATTTTGTTTTCATAGAAATACACATTATCTATTTTTGCAGTAATATTGCTGCCAATGCATACTATTGTTTCATAAATATTTTTATTCATGTGAAAATATATCATGTTATTTAAACAAAAGTCACAGCATCGTAAATATGTATTTATTTTGACAGATGAAAAAAGCTTACACTTACACAATCAAACGTGTTATATATTTAGAAATAGCACACATATATACAAATCCAATCTGCATCTATAATAGACAAACAACCATGAATTATCAACTTACTTTTAAGAATTAACAATTGATTGAAATATAAAGAAAAGTTTAAAAACATTTTAAACAAGAAAAATAAAAGAAATTAAAGAAGCCAATACAAACATTTGTTCTGCATAGGCAATTTAATTTTCAATCATAAGAAGTATTTGCTCAAAAAGACATAATTAATTCCTACAATTTTTACCATGGATTTGTTGTGGTGTAACTTTAGAGCAACCAATTAAAATAAAGGCATTCCAATACCATGATATAAAACAGTACATATTTAAAACAGTACAGAGTTTGGTCAGACTGCAGGCTTGGTACAGAGACTAATAAGTTTTGGTATAGCAGGTTAAGATAATGTAAATAGAAGCCTGTGTATTTAAACATAAAAACGACCTTACATATAACAACCAGTACAGAAATAAAAATGTGAACAACGGTATATCAAGCAACGTATCAGTGGTGAGAAACAACTTTATTTTATCTCAGACAAAAATTAGTTATAAGACTTTTTAATAAAAACAGCATTTTATTCAAACATCTCTTCCCTATCAGTGGTATACACTCCTGTTAAACCTCAGAAATACAAACAAATGATTGATAAAATACAATATAAAACAATTCATGAAATGTATAATTATGAATTTACTTTTTTTCTATTCGTTAAACACAAAATAACAGGAAACGATAGATACACTAAAGTGTAGCAATGTTTGCCCGATAGAAAATTTATTTACGTTAATGGCACAAATGACGATTTTTCGAACAAAATAGTCGAATCGTTTTTAGGAAAGCCTATAAGCAATAAACGTTATCTACTTTAAAAAACAAATATGTTGGTAAAAGGTAGCTAACTATAGAGAATCTAAACTTGACACATGCTTAGACTTACATTTTAAATACATCCATCGCAATTGTAAACTCAAAAATTTAAATCCTTCAAAAGTAATCATGTCGAAACCAATAATTTGCTTTTATATCAAAAATATTTTATTGTAGCGAAAAGCAAAGTTAATCTGTTTCGATATAACATACCTTTATTTCAAATATAAACACAATCAAGTTTTCCTGTGGATACCAATACTCTTTTTTTTTTAAATAAATATGCGTTAGGCGGGATAAAACTATACACAATAAACATATTTTTCCACATGATTCAATCAAAAGTAAAGAGCGATCTGCACCGAATCCTACGAGTTGAGAATAAATATTAACATACAATAAAAATTCATAATTATATAAATCTTAGGAACTACACCCTCTTCCTTTACTTCTAAACATCGACACAAATTTACTTTTGGTGTCTGTGAATTCCAAAGAAAGATTATTAACTACTTATCATATCTATTAAGTATAACACGATTATGCTAAGTAAAAAAGGGATAAATATTATTATATAGTACATGTATATGTGTCCATTTAAATATGAACGTTTGGTAGTTGATGACGATTCTTGATTCCATTGTAACTTGCGAAAATAGTAAAACTAAGTGTTTTTGTTATATAGGTATACAATTGTATAAATATCGATACCAAGACTGTATTTTTGTATTAATGTACCACTCACGTTTCGGCCAAAGCCTACATACGAATGATATCAGTGACGTAACGTCCGGAAGCATGAATGAATGTAATGTTTTTTGCAACGGAAAAAAAATATCTGGAAAGCATTCAAATATGGTAAAATGTGATTGAATATAAATGTATAAATGAGTGCATTTATCATCGATAAAATATCAGAGAGAAAATATCTGGAAAGTATTCAAATATGGTACAATGTGATTAAATATAAATGTATAAATGGGTAAATATATCAACGATAAAATAACAGCGAGAAACAAACAACCAGATCATGTAAGATACAACATGAAACAGACAAACATAAAAAAGTTGGAATAAATGACAGTTCACACAGATATGATATATTACATCTTGCTAAATTTATCAATCTATGTCTATATGCATAACATTAAGTTTGTGAATCAAGTATGTGTCTCCACATGGTCTGCTCATTAACTTTATAAATATGCATAAATGAAAAAAATCTGATAAAATGATAAATACTGTAAGTTGAGTTTCAACAAAAGAACAGTAGGAAAGTTAAAAATCTTTATGTCAAATTTATTACTATTTATTCGGATGAAAACATTTTGTTTAGTTTTACAAACATACTGTATCTTACATTTTTACATGATATAGGATTAATAACTTTTAATGAGGTACAATGAGGTACAATCTTAACATATATTTCATTTGACTGTAACACGTAAGTTATTTCCTTCAACACTATTTCAAAACCCGTGCATTAACGTATATTACATATATTAATATTATTTTAATTTAATCTATTAAGTAATGAAGTTTTATATAAAAAAGAGTGATCATACATCTTTACTAACTCAATTTTGACATACAATAGTTAAAACATAATCATTGTTGTAAATTTTCTAAATTTATAAATGTTTCAAAAATTAATGACAGAATTTTTGAAATGTTAGATTTAAAATAACAATTTTCTTCGAAACAATCATTTTGACTGAATATATATTCTGTAAAATGCTATTTTGTCACTTTGAATTTATTTGGTTAAAGATGATTTTGAATTGATTATGTCATCAAAGATAGAATGTGAAGCTTTATTGCCATAATAGAAAAAACATGAAAAAGAAACAATAAAATTATTAAGTAATTCATTTAATGTCAACCACTAGATATTTTTTCCTTTTTTTAGGATTGTGAAATCGTGATATTAAAAGCAAAATTCGTTTGGTCTTTAAAAACTCTAAAATAAAAATAAATAAATAAACGATGAAAAAGTAAGATGTTCAACATAATATTTTATCAAAACTTTGTTGAGGCGGGTAAATATTTTTCGGACATGAACAGTGATTTTTAGCGAGATATAAATCAGAAACAAATAACTCTAAATAAACATTGTACTCAACAAAATAATGCAACTGAAAAATAATAAATGATGCTACATTACAATACGCGCCAGCTAGGTATATCAACAAAAAACTTTATCAAAGTGAACAAATGATAACACATACAATACACACAACGAAATCATCACAAGCAAGATTGCTTGACAAAAAAGTCATTAATTGAGAGTAAAGAGTAAAATTATTTTGAAACATGCCTCAGTTACAGGAATTCCTGTTACGGTTTCAAAATATTTCTGTACATGTTTTCATCAAATATGAAACCATTTTCCAGAAGTCAACCTAGTAAATTAGCTTATATCACATTGTGACATTCATTCTATATATTAAGCATTTATTGTGTCTTTTTGTCTGGCTTTATTTGCCAAAATGTCTGAAGTTGGAAGCTAATAAAATGTAATTGAAATGCCCTCGTTCTTAAGCAAGAGAGAAACAGTAGATAATAAAAAAGAAAACAAAATCTGAACCATCTCTTGGGCGATTTCAATTTTCCATGTTGTCCTAACAAAATACAAAACCTCAGAAATTTATCGCAAACAATGTTAGAGTTTCTATGTTTGAATATCACTATTATTTTTAAATTTTAATAACCCCATTTACAACTTTGAAAAGCATGTATTTAAAGTTGCTTGAATCTATATGCATATTTTAAAAAAAGGAACATTAAACACATGATGTATTAACCTATAACTATTATGCAATTTGTCACTGATAGTTGCAAAAATTTAATCACACGAACGACAGTACACATTGAGAGGTTTATATAACTTACAAGCAATGTAAATATACTTTTGAGTAGCTATGTTTTATAAATACATTTTCTACAACATGTAGGTCATATAAAATATACCCGGTATCAGTTTTAATTATAACTAAACATTCTCATTGTGTTTACAAGTAAACTAATTTTGTTCCAATATAGCTAGAACTGTATACATTAATGTTTATATTAGTTTACTTGTTTTTATATATATACTCAATATGTCAAAACAAAGGACAAACGAAACATGATACTTTTATCACATTAGTTGCTGCACTTGTTGAATTGCACTCAGTCTGTTGTTTCCTGTTATGGATGTTCCCTTTCTGACCGCCGAATATGGAAAGTAATCACTTTGATCTTTAAAATAATTTGTAACAGAAAGTAGCATATACTTTAATCAATTAATGGTGCACCTCACCTACGAATATGCTATACGGCAGTCATGTTGTAGTATAATGTCGACTTGGAATGTGGAATTGTATTTATATGCCTTGAATTACAGATGACTCCTAAAACAGAAATAAATGACCAGCATTATTGCAATTGGTTTAGGTTATTTCAGATTGTAAACAAAACACAAGCAAAAAGTCGACTTAATTAATACTTAAATGGATAACAAATATTCAAACGATACATGAAATATATGTAGTTAAAGCTATTGAACTGAAATGATTACTATATTGTTTGTTCACAAAATAACAGTTTTCACACTCCTGAGCTTATATGTCACTCAGATTTAGATATGCATGGTTGGTAGATATTGACATTTAATAAATGAAATAGTTTACATACATTCAAAGGTGCGTGATTATTTGTGTAGATGCAATTTGCTCAACAATGTTCATCACATCATCCCATTCAACGTTAAGTGACTTCGTTGATTTCATAGCTTGTAAAAGAGTATTGACGGTGGCATGCTTTTGCTGCTTAGCTCTCCATTTCAACAGCATTTTGTAGATCCTCACACTGCAAGTGTCATGGTTCATTGATAACTGATCTATTTCAACAATGCTCAAACCAAGTTCACTTCCAAGGTGTTCCCAGTTGTTACCAATTGATTGTGCTATTTTGCTCAATTGTTTCTCATTAAAGTGACAGTCTTCTGTAAGCCCTATCGTAGAAATTTCTTCAAACCATTCGGAAAGTGCCTGCTGAGCGTGTATTTCGTGATTGACTGGCATATCAAGGCAGGGTTCAATGCTTTTAAGTTTAAGGTTTTCCAATTGCAGGACTTCCTGACTTCCATTTAGACCATGGCTTTCATTGTTGCAGCTAAAACATGTCTGAAACGGCTTACCTTCAAGTGTGGATGAATCTCGCAGTTTATTGAATTCACTGATGACCACTGACTCTGCAAAGCGTCTGAACCTGTCTGCTGTAATGTTGTTAATATTTCGAAAGGTGCAAAGGCTAATGACACGCATCTCAATTCTGTTCTTTTGTAGTTCAACAGCTCCAGCATTTTGGCTGTCCAATCTAAAGACTCCTAAATTTTCGTACAGCATGAATTCCTTTCTTTGTTTTGATACTCCTATTTGGACAACTGGCCACCTTGCTACCATAGCGGCAATAAGACGACAGTATACAATTTGTACAACAGGGGAGTATTGAAATGCCATCAGAAACCTTAAAGATGTCTGCTTCTTTCTTGTAAGGAACTCTTTAAGTGTCTTGTTATCACTGTGGTTTCTTAGAAAAATAGGGACAATATACCATCCGAGAGGATTACATTTCCCAGTTTTCTCGTCGAAACCTGAAACTTCAGATATAATGTAATGCCTCTGCATAAACATCAAAATTTCATTCTTAAATTTCGATAACTCACTATTGGAATCAAAACATTTCTCAATTAGCTCTTTTGTCAGTTTTGCTTCGTTTTGTAAAAGCTTCCAAAGGCTGCGATATTGTGGTTCTTTTCTGCAAAATCTCTCTGATGTCACAATACACCTGAACGCATCAATGAGAAATTGTGTATCAAGTACAACGTATCGTGATATCGGTTCTTCGTCAAAGAAAAACAATGTGCCTTTCCTGTGGTGATATAGTAGGAACAACTTGATTTCTTCTTCTTCCTTTAGCGGAAATTCATTTTGTGAATCGATTTCCACCACTTTGCTAAATGGAATTATCTTCTTGTATCTTATCTGAACTAATTCTTTTTCAAGGGCAATCCATCTTGCAGGAACTTTGAGTTTAGAATGTTCTCTAATATGTATGATTTCCTTTCGCAGTTCTTCAATTTCCTTGTCGTCGGGATCAGTGCTATTGACTACAAAATCTTTTGTATGAATATGATTGAGAACAGGTGTGTTTTCAAAAAATGTTCTTATTTTTTCAAAATATTCTTCTGCATATTGATTTTTTTCATTTTCCGTTCCATCTAATTTATCTTTATGCGTTCCGACAAGAATAACCGGCGGATTCGAACCGTCGTTAGACCCGACATATGAATGAATGGAGTTCATCCAAAACTTAATGAAATGTTCCATTGTTTTGTCACCTGTTTCCATAGGATATTCAGTATCTAATACGACCATCGACAATGGTTTTGATAAGTCAAACACCAATAAATACACAGCGCGATTGCTGTGAAATATGGTGTGTGTAGCATAGAAGACAAACTGGCCAGCAAAATCCCATATTTCAAAATTTCCTTCTACATCGCGCTCAAATTGTTTTAACGTCAAGAGAGTCGAAAATTTCTGTACTTCTTTCGGTGTCAAAGATGATTTTGCATTTTGTCTAGTATTATCCGTGCTTTCTGCTTGTGTTTTTGTACACAAAAATATTGATGCACTGTCAATAACTTCTTTATTTCCAGACTGTGATGCGAATTCTTGAAGTTCTGAAGAACGTTCAGTATTCTCCGTTGGTTCGGTGGTGTTTGATTCACCATTCACATTTTCCTTCTCATTCTTTGCGACTTCAGCAATGCGATCGATAATGTCCATCTCATCTGGCGTACTTGTTTGGAATAATGTCACATCACCAGTTACTTTAAAATATTTGCAGTGATTGATTTCTATTCCATTTGTACTTTGAACAGTTTGACACGTCTTTCCAACAAGTGATTGTGTTAAGGAGGTTTTCCCTTGTGCAAAATTCCCAACTACGTTGACCCTTATAGTGTTATCTGTTTCAAAACCTCGGGAGAGTGCTCTCTGATAAAGGTCAATATGTAAAGGGTTATTTCCAAGTTCGTCCGTAACATTAATATCATCATCATCATCTATTTGAAAAAAACATTTCAAACATTTTAATACTGTATTTTTGAAACTATTCAAACAGAAAAAATATAGCTTACCATTATATATATATATATATATATATATAATATATATATATTATATATATATATATATATATATATGTATATGTATATATATATATATATATATATATATATATATATATATATATATATATATATATATATATATATATATATATATATATATCGAAACAAGTGAGACTTTAAAAAATTTACTAGAAGTAACTTTACAACTAAAGAGAATATATTTTACCATTATCAAAATTGTATTTAAATCAAGTACGTATACGTATATCTTAACAAGAGCTACCGTTGAACGGGGACAACGCTCGAAAATTTTACTGTTCCCAAAATCAAACAAATAATAATGAAAAAAATGTGTTTTTTACTGTTTAAAGAAGAAGTCATTTCAGTAATGTTCAATGTTCAATTTTACACCTGAAACACTGAAATTTCAAAGTCATATGAAATAAAAGGTGCATTTTTTGTGTTTTTTTTTTTTGTATTTCAACATACAGGAAAATAGTTTCTTATTTAACATGCAAAAAAAAAATAATAAAACACAAGATTGTGTACCCATTATCTGATAGTTTAGATTTGGACTTCTATTCGTCGGTTTTGTATACTAAAAGAGTCTAAAGTAACGATTTAACGGGAAAGGTATGATTTATCTACTCATTACAAATTAAGTTTGAAGAAGAAAATACGCCTATTAATTTGGATTTTTCATATTTGAGCAGTGTGAGCTAGTTTTTTCCTGTGATGACCAATACTCAAACTTGACGTAGAAATCATCAAAAAACAAACTTTCAGACCAAATTCCAGGATACTTGGATCAAACAGTAGCCACTAGAGTGTTTTTGCCACAAGATTTTTCTATTTTTAGCTCCTGTGACTAAGTTTTTCATGTGAGATGAGCCATGTTCGAACTCATCCGAGCAATTACCTATGAATGCATCCTGACAAAGTTTGATGACAATTGAGTCAAAAATGTGACCACTAGAGTGTTAACATTTTTTTTCTATTTTTAGCTCCTGTAACCTAGGTTTTCTACCGAGATAACGGATGTTTAAACTATTCCGAGCAATTACCTAGACAAACATTCTGACCAAGTTTGATGACGATTGAGTCAAAAAAGTGACGACTAGGGTGTTAACAAGGTTTTTCTGTTTTAAGCTCCTGCGACCAATTTTTTATCCGAGATAAACCATGTTCAAAGTCATCGGAGCTATTACCTAGACTAGCATCCGGACTAAGTTTGATTATGATTGATTCACAAATATGACCACTAGAGTGTTAACAAGGTTTTCTATTTTAGCTCCTGTAACCTAGTTTTTCGTCAGAGATTACCCATGTTCAAACTCGTTTGAGCTGTCACCTAGAAAAGAATCCTGACAAAGTTAGATGATGATTGAGGCAAAAATAAGACCGCTAGAGTGTTAACAATGTTTTTTCTATTTTTAGCTCCGGTGACCTAGTTTTTCATCCGTAATGACCCATAGTCAAACTCATCCAAGCCATCAACTAGATAAGCATCCTATCAAAGTTTGATGATGATTTAGGCAAAAATATGACTGCTAGAGTGTTAACGAAACAGTCTGGACGGACGACAAACGACAAACGACAGACGACGGACGACGGACATTTAACGATCCTAAAAGCTCACCCTGAGCTAGCTCAGATGAGCTTGAAGATTTAGATGACTTATGATCATTTCAGTGTTGTTATATTTTCTGGTCCTTCGGGATCATTGATGCCAACACTATAAAGTGTTGAGAATTGAGTACCGCTCAAGCCGGTGCTAGGGGGCGTGAGTGATGTTGCACTTATTCATTATCACTCATGTACAGACTCAATCAAACCGAGTCTGCAATTCTTATGTTATTTTGTTGTGATTAATGCTTCCGGGGGATCACTTTGTTTCCGGAATTTTGTTTAAGGTAAATCTTATTTAAAATTATCCATCAATAATTATGTCTCCAAAATGAAAAAACACCCATGATTGAGATGCATTATAAAAAACTTACCTCAAAATAAAGTCAAAAACAAACTTTAAATGTTGTGCTTAAACTATTATTTCTAAGAAATAAAAGATTATACATGCTACCTAGTGCCTAAGGAGTAAATAATATTTATGATTATAATATATGCACAATGTAAGTCCGGGCGAACAGCGTGTAATACATTGCAGAATTAAGCCATTAAATATGGCTTCGAACAAGGTAATGAAACACATAATGTGGACATCTTAGTAATAACCATTGGCATTATTGGATATTGTCGGACACATATTATTGTTAACGTCGTTAGGACCATTGCCGTTGACAGTCACTATCATTTACTGTTTTTTATGAACTGAAATTGTTCAATATTTTAAACAAATGAAAATAAAGGATAACATGAGCATATAATGCATAATAAGGATAACTGTGATACTAATATCTGTTTAATTGGTTAGTGTACTTGAAAATATCATAATAATTTTAAATTATTCCATAAATGTTTTAATTCATTATTTTGTTACAGATATAAAATCATTAGTACACGTCACTGAAATTAACTTCTTTTAATAACCTTCGTAAGTTATTTGCAATGTTAACTTGGTGATAAAAGTGGGCAGTCTTTTCATATTTTTAGCGGATTTTATATTTTATCTAATTATTTGTCATTATTAACTTCTGGCCACTCCCAATCGAAATAAGTAATCTTATAGTTAATTCAAATCTAACTGACAACGAAAAAATGACAATAATGTCACTTAAAGTAGATAGATCTTAACAAGTGCATCTGGGTTGCTTAAACTATTCCCGGGATAATTGATGCTTCTAATTCTATATGTGTTACAAACAGAGTGATTTTGTGTCTTTACTATACAAATCAAACTGCTTGCAAACTTGTAAATTAAATATTTAATGTTTATCTTATTATAATATCATCTTGTTAATTTTTCAGCATTATAGTGTTGATAACGCGCTGGCGCAAAAATATTGTCGAATGGCAAGGCAGTCGAAAGTATGCAATGACTTAAATCGTGCTTAAATAATATCAGAATACCGAAATTGTGTAATACTTTAAATAGTTGCATATGTTTAAATTCATAATAATGATATTATCACGTGTACGCATTGCAATATAGACTTGTATAACTAAAGCCTGAATAGGTCAATCTTTTGTAAAATATAAAATATATATTGTAAAATATGTATTGTCAAACACGTATAAATTGTCGAAAAGGTAAAATAAGATACCTACCAATATCCCAGCTACTTGAATACGACTCCTGAAGTCAAACAAATAATACATTATATTTAATAAATATATGATAGACCGGCTTATCCTACATCTTCTATTTTAAACAAAAATATGTTTGCAAACATCTTCAAGTGAAGACATCAATACGTAAAGCATATATCGCCACTAATTGTACTAATATATGCTTGATCGGCTCATTTTAGCATATATTAGTAACAGGTAAGGTTTTTTGTTACTTTAAATTGTTTAAAACTGGGAATTCAACGGTTCTTTCATTACATGTCAAATTTGTATTTTCCCATTGTAAACTGTTACTTATTGTCCAATCGTTTTGAATCGTCGAATGAAAACGATTTGATAGAGCGGATTAGATTGTTTTCTAGCAATTTCTTTTAATCCAAATTCTTGCTAATAACTACTAGTATTCACCTGTACATCATGTTTAAAATAACTAAAACTAACCAGTCAATCAAAGTAAGTTGCACATCTTGATAATGTCAACGCGTAAGTGATTTTTTAAAAGTCAAAACACTGACATTATTTTAAAAGTGATTTTATGTGACCATATTTTTTTTATTGAGGCATTTAACGGTTTGTTTTTATGCTGCCTTTGTTATTTTATAAGCCACAAGGTAGGTATTGGATTATCTTCACATTTAACATCGGAATTTATAAGGATGAAACGTTTTCAAATGTTATTTTGTGCAAAACACACATTGTTTACAATTGACAAAACAAGATATCCATGGTTAATTTATCTGGATCATGTTGCTAAATTTCTATGCCTCGTATTATTTTCTTCAAAACCGTAAAACAATAGTATACAAATACTCCTTTTAATAAATGGATACTTATAAACGCAGTGTGCAATAATCGTGAATATTGTAAAACCTTGGACCATAGTAACTTTAATAGAGACAGTTAGAACTTAACTTTAAAGCTTTATTGTATTTTTTTGTTTTGTCTAATGTGTTTATATCATGGTGGATCACAAGTTTATATTCAGGGCTTTAGAATTGCTAGGTATTTAACTTAAATCAGTTTATTGTGTGCATGTAGTACTTGTAAATGCAGGATAATACCATTTACTTCCTGGTTTAAGTAGCCATGTTTGTATACATCATGTTGCATTGCATTATGGATAGTTGCTTAGCAACTGAAGCTTCCTTTTATTGTTTACTTGTCAATGCAGAGATATTTAGCAACTTTTTATCAACAATTTAAAACTGTTTACCCCCTTAAAAGGAAGTTTGAGATTATAATATTTTGTATTAATTATATTTCTATTAAATAAGACTAAAAATTACTTATATATTTGTTATTTTAATATTAAAATTCTCATTTGTTTCCAGTAACTGTGAGCTTCCCAGTTCCACATTATTTTATGTGAAGCAGACTTCACATGATTTTATGTGAAATTGGCAAACTTCACAAGTTGTGAAATGTGAACTTCCACACTTTTTTGTGTGAAGTCTGGGTAATATATAAACTGCTGTGAGCTTATTTTCGAGGACACACACGCAAAACAACTTGCTAAATACAGTATAAATTTTATTCGAGAAACAACAATCTTGAAGGTACTTTAACTTATTTTGGTGAATATTTTCTACAAGTCTTTACATAAAATTAACATTTTGATAAGTAATATTTTAAGTAATGTAAAGCTGATAATTTTATTGATTAATAGATAGTAGCAGTAAACAAGGCTTACAGACAGTGCTGAATGGTTATTTAAGTTTATCTGCCTTATATGTCTGAATATGTGACTTTGTTGAATGTAATTAAGTCTGAGAGAGAAAGTGAATGTTTTGTAAACATAATAATAGCACTGTATTGTTGACGTAAGTCGTTCTTGTATAAAATATAATTGCGATTGACTATTGAAAGAGAAATGATATATATGTTTATTAAATGACTAAATTGAAGTTTTAAGTTTATTACAAGTCTTAGTTTTTCGATGCATCACATAAATAATCAAATAAATAATCAAATAATTAGTGTTTTAAAAGAAAGCAACAGCTGGAAGCTGATCAAGGTCGCTACCTATAAAAGATATCACCAACGTTCGTAATCCAAGGCTCGAGCTACCAATTGTGACGTCCGTGTCCAAATAGCGTAATACTAAATTTATGGTGGCAGCGGTGGGATTCAAACTTCCTGGAATCAAGCCATTCGAACCAACGTTTTTCTAAGATGTCATCAGACGATAGGCCAATCATTAATGGGGATAAGATGTTAACACAGGAGGTTGATGAAGAAATACGTTTCGCTTCCCAGTGACCGGTCCTGTCACCCCACATGATTCAGTAGATCAAGTGCCGTCTACGT